TGGCCAGAGGGAAGCAGCTCACCTGGGTGGAGGAGAAGCCTCCATTGGGATTCTGCTGACTGCTGATCCACTTTGCAATAAGGGATGCAAAGGACAGCTCCTCCTGGGCAGGGGCTGGCTGCGAGGTGAGGTGAGCCAGGAGCACGTAGGCCGTCATCTCCACTTCCGCAGAGGGAGCTCGGGAGCGATAGTACGGGAGATCAGCCTCGGGCTCCTTCCCAGGCCGCTGCCAGTGAACAGACCCATCTTCACAGGAGGCAGCCAGAGAGACAACAAGCAATTGCTACTATTAAATACTGCAAGGCACTTCTCCACCTGCTGTGCTCCAGCTGGGGGGACGGAGCCTCCAGGACGTGTCTGTCGTGCCGGGTGAATTGGGAAGGGTCGGGTTTACACGTTTTGCAGGTTTACAGTGAGCATGAGACTGCTGAGCCTCAGGCCTAGACACCACTTTCACATGGACACTTATGGACTTGGGCACTGCAGGGAACCAGAGACCTCAGGAGGATGCCACTCCTTCCCTCTGTGAGTAGACATGCCAGGGTCTGGCAGTGACAAACTCTGCGAGGCCAAATGGCCCAAAGAATGTGACCAGGGCTTACCAGTCACCCTCAGGTGGAGAAGGCAAAAGGTGTGGGAGATACTCCCTTCACACTTCCACTACCCACTGCTTGGCCAAACCCGCTGTCCAGCCTGACTTAGGCAGATTAGTTCCAAGCGATTATAGGATTTTTACAACTCAGAACTTGTGCTGTGGCCTCCAAAATGCCCTGTATGCTCATTTTCTCTCTCAGCACACCCATCTCTTCTCAGACTGTCGTGCATTCTGCTCTGTGTTGAGCCCATGCCCTGGAAGGCAGGAACGTCCCTGAGCATTGCTAAGCCTGTGCTAAGCAGTGCCTGGCGTGGAGAAAGCAGTGGGCTGAGGAGAGGTGGGAGCAGAGCCACCCGAGGGCTCTGCACCAAGGGGATGGTGCCTGGTGCTTCCTGCTGAGCTCCCTCGGAGCAGAGAAGAAGGACGGGGCTCTGAGAGGGACTTCTCCAGAAAGCAATCCCTTTGCACAAGTCTTTCCTCTCCTTCCACCTTTCCCTACCCACAGAGGCCAGTGCCTGCAGCCACTGCCCCACCAACAAAAGCCATTCTACCGAGGGAAGGTGCAAGGCTGGGGAAAGCCATGTCCCACCAGGAACACTCACCCTTTCTCACAGCTTCCTTTTCAAGTGAGTCAAGCAATGCCTTCCGCTTCTCCCTGTTGCCTGCCAGGGCAAAGGCGTATGCCAGCAGTGCCTTGGTGTACACATGGTTTTCTTCCTGATTTGCTGCAGTTTCCAGGCAGAACAGAGCATTCCGCACCACTGAGTGCTAGAAGGAGAGAGAGAGAACTTGAGGTGGTCATATTGAGCTCCATCTGAGAACAACAGGAATTGGGATAGTACCTGTGGACCCTTAGCATCCCACTCTCTGGTCAGACAAAAATGTTACCATTGTGTATCCTTTCTCTCCAAACCTAATAATTCCTAGAACAATGAATTATTGAACCTACTTGAACCTACTTTTCTTTAACATGTCTTGTAATGGTTTTTCCCAATTTGATTTAAAGACTGTGAAGCAGGGCTCCAATCCTTCTTCCTCGAGAAGAATTACTGGCCTGATTGTGTTCTCAGGTAAGAGGAGTTCTCTGAAATGCTTCCTTGCTTTAGGTGTACTGAATACTTGCTTTCTGTGCTTTCACCCTCTGCTCTATCCTTTGCTTTTTGTTTGCTTCCCCTTTTCCAGGGCATTTGGAAAAAATGCCACTTGATGGAAGTATTGTAATTTCTGGTTTGGTGGTGAACTCTGTCTCCGCACAAGAAAAAAAAAAAAAAGTGTGCTTTTTTGTATTTTCTAGAATGTTTGTGATGTTCACATTAGCAATGCATGTATTGGTTTACGAGTGCAATCACTACAGCAAAGTAAAATGCAGCTATTTTACGTGATCTTATGACTAACAGACACTGTTATGCCACAACCTTTCAGCAAGACACGACTACTCTTCATTTATGATGGAAAAGCTGCTATAAAATTGAAAAAGTAGCTCTGCAGTAAGAGTATGCCATGACCTGAAAGCTAACAGCATATTTACAGATTAATAAAGGGTCTAGAAGGAAAATGCATATTTTTCTGTTGCTTTGTGCTTTGACTTTCACTGTGTGTGTACTGGAAGGCGAAATATTTTGTGATCTTTTTTGGAGAAGCAGTTCAGCTGGTTTTAAGAAAGCAAAGAATAAAACCAAAACTGGTTGTGTCTATACCTACTACTGTTTGTAAGGGAAATGTTGGGGAGGAGTGAAGTTCAATGACAGGATGTGACAGTAGACACAAATGCTAAGGACAGTGCTATTAAGGTTTTTATGAGGGTTTAATATGGCTTATTTTACTTAGAGATATACTCTGTGTGAGCCTTAATTACTTAAGGACTGTGCTAATCTTAGCTCATGCAGCTGAACTTGAAATGCCCCCATACCCCACTCAGATTGTGACAAACCCCTTCCCTAACATTCAGTGGCAGGACTGAATGGACTCAGGGAGCTGGAAAACATCCTCGTTATCCAGTATGGCTCTGCTTGAGAGCTTGGCTTCTAAACAGTCCATATAACAATGAAAGAATGCTCTTCTGGTGAAGATAGTGCCATCCATGCCACCTTATTGCCAAAATAATTACTTCTGCTCGTTCTTGCTACACAGGAAAAAACTTTGAACACAGAACATTCCCTACTACATTTGGAGCAAAGGGATTGCAACAGCCTGGCAGCCACACTGGCCCAGCAGCCCTTCTGCTGTGATTCCTACTGCAGTTTTACCTGCACCACCACCTTGTCTCAAAGTGAGGGGACCAGAATGACCAAACCCACACTGGTCTTCATAGGCCTCAGGCTTTTCACAGACTACCATGATGGTGTTCCCTATAGGTGTACCTTATTCTTCAAGCATTAGGGATAGGGATTTCTCATAAAACCATCTAGAATAAGTAGAGAAAATGACAATGAATGCCTGAGTGTGCCATCCTTTTTTGCAGACCTGTGGTGTTGTACCTGCCCAATAGGCGCAAGAGCGGTTCAACAAGATTGTACTATTCTAAGAAAAAAAAGAAGATTTCTGTAGGTGTAGAAAACCTATTTGGCTCACTTCAGAGAATTAAATATTATTTAACTCACTGTCAATCCAAGCTGTATGGAGCAAATCCATTATCACCCACAAAAGAACTGAAAAAGTGTTAAGTAAAATGTGTATATAGGATGGGACAGGGGAGGAAAAAGGAGGAAGACATTCCTTCAGTCTAGGCTTAAATGGTAAGGCTATTCAGACAGGATTTCTTCTTTCCAAAGGGAAAGGGGCCTGATGATCCGGGCGTGGGGACACTAGTCGGGCAGGTTAGTACCATCTGTGGCTCAGGTTGGTGCAGACACGTACGGTTACAGGCAGAGGAATCTCCAGCAGTGCAATAGTGATGTAGGCTGCCAGTGTGACCTCGTCGTTCACTCCACCCTGCAGGGAAACACAAAAGTACTTGTTGATCCCACACAGTGCCGCTGCCTTCTCCCTGTGCTACATATTGACATCCTGCAGGGACAAATTCTCCCTGGCCTTCTTTTCATGCCGAGTCCTTCAGAAGATGCTGCTGACTTCTTCCTGCTTCTGTGATAGCCCACGTGTATAACTCCTCACTCCTTCCCACACCCCCACACTGCAAGTGCTGAAATAACTCTGTGGATGCCAGAGTGACTTATGGTCAAGTTCCAGCCTGACAAAACCCATGTGGAGCCAACCAGGAGATAGGTTACCTTCATAGCATTGTTCAGGAGCGTCCCAGAACTGCGGAAACAGCCGTTCTCCTTCTGCTTTTGAGTAAGCCAGTTCAAAGCATCCTGGATGTGCTTCTCCTCTATGAAGATGTGAGGCCGGGCCTGGGCAAAGGACTTGAGGACAAAGGCTGTGAGCCTGAAAGTGACAGAGGGAACCAAGACATCCTGAGCAGGCCCTGTATCTATCAGAGGTCATGGGGCCCATTTAACTTCATCTCCACCTCCATTCCAAACTCCACAATGGCCAAGTGCAAGAGAACACTGAGGAATGAGAGGGCATAAAAAGCAGAAACAAAAAGCCAGAGGTACTGAAGTCTTACCAGGTATTTCCAACTTGCCCATAACGTGGCCCAAAGGTGCTATAAGAACCATCCCGGTGTTTGTACTTCAATTGCCTTTGATACCCTGAAGTGAAGAGTAAAAATGTATTTCAGTTGCCACAGTGCTTTTCAAGGAGCCATGCAAAGGAAATGCAGCAGACATGGGACACATTGTCCCCCTTGCCTATGGCACAAATGTGTCCTATGCTGCTCAGTATTACAAAGAAAGTTCAGGGAAACCCCCAGCTCAGAATATCTCTATTCTTGTGCTCTTCCTCTCTCCAAAAACACCTGGAAACTGGCTATCTGTGGTCATTGCTGCTCTCTGCCCAAGACTTCATGAGGAGAGGTAAATGCATCCCAGACTTGGGAGAAATTGGAGAATTGTGCCCAGAGGACAACTGATTAAAAATGTGAGTCCTCACAGGATAGGAATGCAGAAAACAGGATCATTTTCTTTGGAGGAAATGCAATTTCCCTGCAAAGAATAACTGAGTCACAGCAGCCCCTTGCTAGTCAGCAGGTGCCCACCTGATGGTACTGATGTTATGTTTGTCATCACGCCCAGGCTAATGTGGTAAAATTCTGCCCTGGTCAAAGATAAGCAATACTTTCTACAGCTCAGTGCTAAGGAGAATTGTAAATAGCTGACATGATTAATGGTTTTATATGTATTTCATATAACCCTTTTCTCATGGAGGGCAATCCTGAGTTATTGCCAGCCCTGGACTTTTTCTGTGTTCCTGTTTGGATGCTGTTGTCTGTCACCCTGTACCTGAGCACAGAATTCCTTCTTACAGATACTGTCTTGTATACCTCTAACCTGCCAGTACCCTGTTCCTTTCTGGAGACAGCCTCCCACAGATCATTCAGGCCAGGGGCCAACAGTGTCCTTATCCAGTAGCCAAGGGAAGGGATGAACAAAGGCAAAAGCTCACCGCTCACTAAGTATCCAATGGCCTTAGATTTGACCTCTTCACTCAGCTGCCTTGTCTTGTTCAGATAGTGCAGGACGTAGATGTTGGGTGCAAACAGGACCATGTTCTGCTCCCCACAGCCAAAGGGCATCTGGAGGAGCTGGTGCAGGTTTTGCATGGCAGTGCCCATGATGTCACCTGGGGAAAGGGACAATCCTCAATGTAAATTTGCCATTAGGCTGAGCACAGCCTGAAGCAGCAATGTTTCAAAACAGCATGTGACACTTTGAGGATGTTTCACTTACCTAGCACTGAGAAATATGTTCTGGCTGAGCCATCCACCACAGTCTCTGGGAGAGCCAAGGAGACTGTCTCTGACACTGACTCTTCTAGGATAAAAAGCAGATTAATTTGGTTACAATTCCAGATGTATCTATAATGCCCGGGTAGCAGCTCTCCATGGGTGAGACACTATCCCCTGAGGAGGTGTTTCCTGACTTCAACAAGTCCATTCATCTGTAATTTTGCTGATGAAGTTTACCATCCTGCAAATTTTGTATTGGGCTGCAATACCCTCACACAGACATTGTCGTGAACTTCTACATGGCACCATCAACCAGCCTTGACTGACAAATATACTTTTCCCAGCCTATTTTTCTGGCCTTTTCTGCTTTGGTGGGCAGACTTGTCTTACTGCAGAGTCTGGTTTGGGATTTTACATCTGCTAAATGAAAGGCATTAGAGATAACTGTATAAAATCCCAAATACAATCTCCTTGTATTGACCTGGCCAGCCTCATTTCCTAAAAGAAGTGCTTCTGCCTCTCAAATTGTAGACACTATCACATCCTCAGCTCTTCTTCAACAGGAAGAATTGTTTTTACTAACATGCATTCAATTTGTTCAATTTTATCAGATCCCTACACCTTTTTTCTCAGAGTGGAGCACTCACAAACCTTTTATTCCATCTTTGCCTTTAGTTTCTACCTCAGCAAAGAAAGTCTTGGAAAACAAATGGCTCTTACCAGATGCACAGAGCACAGAGTTGTACGTGGTTTCCACTTCAGTCCCTTCCGGCTTGGGGAAAACGGCAAGGGAAAAAAAAGCAAAAGATGAGAAACAACAGCAACAAAGAAAAGGAAGAAATATCAAAAGGGAAAGTAAAAGGCACTCTTTGAAACTTGCCTGGAAATTTTTCTCCTTCATGTGCTAAACTGAGGACTGTAACATACTGGCTAATTACAAGTATGAAATGCAATATATTTTCTTTTCTTTCTTGTTCCTGAGAGAGGAGGTCCTTTAGCTTCCCAGGTTGTGATGGAGATAACATGCAAGGGGATGTTACCAACAGAGACACCAAGCTGCCACTCACTGTGGCCCAGTGTAGCAGAGCTCTCCAGGCTGGGGTGATGGCTGAGTGCCTGGCACACTGGGAGGATATGCATGCAAGAACCTTGACTGGCAGCTAGAGCACGCCAATGCACCTACAAGTGACATGCTACAACAACCAAAGTTTAAATAGTCAATTGGTTTATAAGTTCTAATCTAGTCTTTGAAGTCAGAGAAGAATCTCTTTTTTTCTGTTGAGATGGGTGAAAATATCTTGCAGAAAACTCAGGAATCAAATGTTTATTAGAAAACTTTTAAAATCAGAATTTATTTTGGTGAGATCCCTGCACCAATTTTTTAACCTCTAAATAGGAGAGTTCCCATTGTTTCACTACTGGTTTCTAGCTATTGCCAGCTGATATTTTTTCCCAGCACGTAAACAATGGTGTTTTTGTCTTCACTTTCTCACAATCAGAATAAATTGTCTCTCATTCTTCAGTACGAAAAGACAGAAAAGTATTTAAAAAGCAGGGAAAAAAAAGAGAAAAAAGAAAAAGATTTTTGGATAAACTGTGATGGAGTTAAATGCTTCTTTTTGAAAAGGCATCTTCTTGTTTGTTTCAGTTTGTCATTCTTACATGCAACTAAATGGAAATCCATTGTTTTGTTTGATTTTCAACATACAAACTTTAATTGTTTGAAAGATTTTCCTTTCCAGATGAGAAATTTCTGGGTGAAAAAAAAAATCCCTTTTTCCAAAGAGCTCCAAGTGAGGCTTGGTTTCTCGAGGGGCAGAAAGATGTCCTGGGGCCTCTGGCACACTGACTCCTGTCTCTCTGGGATGCACTGCCTGCTGCAGGGAATATTGTCATCCACATGCTCAAGGCAAGGCAGCTTTGTCCCAAGCATGTTACACTGTATCCATCCCTGCTAATTAATTGTTCAGCCTTGGAGGCTAATCTCCAATTCAGTCCTGTCAGGGTTTGCTGTAGATTAATTACCACAGTAACAGGATAGGATGAGCAATCTCTCAGACACCCTGACAGAAGTAACTCTAATACTTGTTCAGTAATTTACATTCCTCTGCCATCTGCGAGGAAAGACTTTACAGTGCTCTATCTTCCTGTATCTTCAAAGAACAAAACAGTCTTTTTCCTGAAGGGGTATATGAAATTAGGAAAATTTCCTGAAATGTTAAACAGTTGTTCATGTATTATACATCCAGATCCATTTGTAAATAATTAAAAAAAAAAAAAAGCCTACCAGCTAGGACTGTTGTTCCATCATTACATTCTGGCTAGCAAAACATTTCCTGAAGCTACATGAATCCTAGCTCTGCCTTACTGAAAACTGGAATGTCTGCAATCTAAGGAGCACTTATTGTTATATAGATTTTCCTATACAATAAACTGGTAGTCTTTGCTTGCTAATAGCATCACTGGGAGTCTTATACTGTGAATTAATTTCATGTCTGGCAATTTATCATGTGAAAAGCTATGTTTTTATCATTACAAAATACTGCTTAAGAAAATAAGAGTACAAAAGAATGTAAAAATGAAAGGTTAGTTACACTGTTTTGAACATTTTTAGAAATGTAATGAAAACAATTCAAAACTTAGAAATGTAATAAAAACAATTCAAAATGGTAGCCTTGATCAAATATTTGCAGATGGTAGTGACTGCTCTGTATTCCAGAGTACAGGCCATGGGCTGGAGGAGAAGCATAAGCTTTCTGTCTAGTGTTTCATTCACAGCCTATCCCTGTGATTTATTACAGGCAAACCCAAGGATTTCTCGTTTATCTCTGATATGATGTGTCTCAGAAAAGCCTGTCATTATTGCCTGCCTTATTATTCCTGTCCCTCTATGTAATGTAAGACTCTGCTTTGACTGTGAGATGGCAACATTATGAGTTATGGGCTCTATTGGCCTGTGTTGGATTTATCAGTGCTTCTTTTGTAAAAGCTTGCAGAATAAGAGTCCCACAAGCCATTATTGCTGCTCTCACGGCTAAACCAGAAAGCCTTTATCATGCAGCAGCTCTTGCTGCTGCTGTTGCTGCTTTCCTGTGTCACCAAAATGAGCAGCCACGTACCTCCACCAGCAGCTGTCTGATGACCGTGTCCTTCCGTCCTTTCTCAGGGCTCTCCACGATGTAGTTCCCGCAGGGCTGCTGGTTCTGTAGGGCCTCAGTGGTCACTGAGAACTCCACCTGCCCTGGAGGAAACAGGGGTCAGTCAGCCCTGCCAGGCAGAGCCAGGAAAATATGGGGTTGTGTTTGTGCTAGGAACTCTGTGATGCATTACAAAGAAGCTTTTCCAAGAAGAGAACTACACCTAAGACAGGGTTTTATCTTGATCCAGATGCAACCTCCTTTGTGATGGCCACCCAAGCAGGTGTTAGTCCATCAGCATGAAGAGTACTGATGGAGAAGGTCTCATAAATCAAATAGTTTTTTTTTCTGGGAAGCTTCAGACAAAGCAAGCTTTGATTAAAAATTTTCAGACCCAAACACACTAAGACAAGACATTCTTAGCTCCACAACTGGAATGTCTGAGTTCTTTCCATGCATTAAGGGAATTTGTGATCTCTGTTAAAATGTTGGGAAAGCCATGGCCTGTAACATGTTGTTGGTTTAGGACCTGGAAACACTACACATAGTGTAGTGTCTCAACCTCAGGGCTGGACTTCTGGTACAGAGAAGATCCTTCCAAATAGGTTTGGAGTCAGCTAGCTCCTCACACCAAAGATCTGATGCCGTACACTGATGTCTGATCCCAGCATCTTCTTGTCATCTGATCTCTTACCTAGAGATCTGGGTGTTACTGCCCAAGCAGCAGTTTTTCTTTCGTTCACACAGATGCAGTAGGATTCTTCCTGTTTCCCCACTGGTACAGCCAGGAAATCAGTAGATTCAGCCAGAGACACACTGACCTGCCAGTTGTACAGAGAGGGGTCATGAGGTTTGGGCTTTCAGAGAAGCTGGAGTTATTGCAGACAATGCAGTACACATGTAGTGGAGCTGGTTATATGGGTATGGCAGAGCAAAAACTGCCTGATAAAGGAGGAAAATTACTGAAATTTGTACAACTCTAGGAGATCAGGGAGTAAGTGTAGAGAACAGGATCTTTGGGAAGGAAATCGATTCTGGGAAAATGAATAGCGCAGCCCAGTTGTGCCATGAATTAAAGATCTCCCTCGTGATTAGTTAGGTGGAGAGATAAAACATCAGCAGTGGGAAAGCTAGTAAGGGAACAAAGAAAAGTAGAATAAGGGAACAAGGAAAAGTGAAATAAAGAGCCTGAAAATAGCAAACAAATAGGAAATACAGGGACATAAGTGAGTGCATTGGAATGACTGGATAAGCCTCTCCCTGTTTCAGGTTCATTCATTTTAGAATAAAAAATCTGTATTTATAAAAAACTAAGCAAAGGTGATTGAGACTGTCTACTAATCCCTTCCCAAATTTTCTCTTGTCTTTTTTTGTTAGAAAAATTGCAGGTAAGAATGGTGAAACTGTGTAGCTCTCCTTAGTGTTTGAGGGACAGATGCAATAAATTACAGGACGTCTGCACATTCCAGAAAATTTTCTGTGAAGTTTTGTGAGATGATACTAAAGGTAGACACAAATATCTACCCTGGTGAACCTGGAATTTCCATTTGGGTATGCAATGATTCTCTGATCTGTGAAGAACTCAAGCTCTCTGTTTCCATAAAACAATGACATAAATTTGTGATGACAAGGCTGGGGGGGGGGTCTCAGTAGCAGAGCTTCAGGCTCTGAATCAAATGCAGCTGTCAAAACTTGGTCAGGAAAACACATTCTCTCTTCACCGACTACAACAAGGATTCGTACATTTGTACAGCGATATTAAATTACATTTGCACATCAATCATCTAGCTGGAGCACCTTGTTAGAAAAGGCCCCCTGTAGTCTCCCCATGGCTGTTAGGCTGAGCAAAGCTGTGACATCCCTTACCCTGATGCAGGCAGGCAGGTAGTTGAAAACGGTGGCTTTCAGTGTGAAGGACTCCCCCCGCACTACAGAGTAGGGCATGGTGAGCTC